TTAAATTTAAATTAAAGTACACACCCAAAAATAACCAATGTTTTAGTTTAGTTTAGCCTATATTTGTAAAATATGTGGTTTGGACAAATTACTGTATGAAGGGTACTGAAAAGTACTGGAAGAAACATTAATGGAATCGTTAAGACCTGGAACTGTAAAACATCCTTAAGATTTCCTTTTCTAATACACAGTGAGTGTGTCATTGTTTTATGCTAATGTATGGGGGAGTGTGTCATCCTGTGATTATGTGCATGTTGTGCGTATAGGATCAGCTGGCAATGTGACCAACGTTCACTGCGGGAGAACATACAGAACAGGAGGAAAAATCTGCCAGCACCCTTAGGACTCAAAGCAACTCAAGTGCAAACACACACACACATAGGCAGACAAAAACACAGCAAACACTCATTGCACAGTCATTCATGTGCAAATAGTGCAAATGGAATGCTTAACAAACTGTCTAAATAAGGTACAACTGATTCTATTAGCTGATTGGCTACAGACTCCATTATGGCTGCTTGGCTGAGGATGGAAATAATTATTTTTTGACTCATTCTTGTTCAGTACAAAAGCTCTAAAACATTCCCCATCATTAGATTTTACTGGGATGCTATTTGGTGGCTGTTTTGGTTGTGACATTTTGGGTTGTTGTCTAGTGGCGTGGGTTTGGGATTGTGGATAACTCTTGCTGAATGAGCTACTCTGCACTTCCGCTGATTAACAGAACTACAGATAAGTGGAGAAATGAGGAGGCGAGCTGAGACCTTGTTATAATCAGGAAATTATTTTCCAAAAAATTAAGCTTCCTTTTCCTTTGAATTCAATATATGGACATCTAGAGCTAGACAGATAGAGATCAGACACATCCACAATAGACAGATAATTACCACCCAGAGTCAATTTTTGTAAATTATCCCAACACCGTCACAAGGTTTGACGCTAAAATATCATCATCCAAGATTATTGAACTGCTTATGGATGGTCCCACCTCAAATTCTTCACTGCAATATATAATTATATCACACACGTGGGGCAATGGGCATCTCCAGCTCCATCAGTAGAGTTTAAGGTGCAATTAGTAAGTAATTGAGTGTATTTGTTGCTGTACGATTCGGATAACTATATTCTCTGCGAGCCAGCTTCTCTTTAGTGTGCTTTCGCCATTTAATTGGTCAGTGTAGGTCCTAGGGAAATATGGAGAAAATATTAGCGGAACACAAATCTGTGTCGGTTATGGGAAGTGTTGGGCTGTGACGCTGGAGGGATTTTGGACTGCATGTCTCTGACAAAGGGTGACGCTTACTAGAAGGCATAATCCAGTGGGTTTTGACTGTGTTTCTTATCTGAACCAACACCAACAACATTATGTCTCTCATGACGAACTTACAGATACATGCAACACTTTCAGATGCTGGAGTTTACCACTTTTGATTCTAAAAAGTAAAACAAATAATGTCTTAGGAAACTACATTTATGTTAGAGCACTAAAAATGTTGATCATATGATCATATATAATAACATGCATATCATTAAAAAAAAACAATTAGTACTGAATATACACTGATAAGCCACACCATTACCACCCTGCCTAATATTGTGTAGGTCCCCCTTGTGCTGCCAAAAAAGCTCTGATGTGTCGAGGCATGGATTCCACAAGACCTCTGAACGTGTCCTGAGATATCAGTCACCAAGACATTAGCATTAGATTATTTAAATCCTGCAAGTTACAAGGTGGGGCCTCCATGAATCGGATTTGTTGGTCCAGCACATCCCATAGATCAGGGGAGTCAGTCTCAATTCCTGGAAGGCTGGATTTAACCCTAATTAAACACACCTGATCCAACTAATCAAGTCCT